TTTGATGAATATAATAGCATGTATTTATCTTTTCTATTACTGATGATGCTGAAGTTATTTACCCCTAAGAATATTCATTGTACATATTTTCATGAACTTTAAAGAGGCATTTGTATTTTCAGGAGATGGTGGATGGCACTAAGACTCTTTGGAGAGTAAACCCAAGATAGCTGGAGAGCAGTCATGGGGGAGTGACAGTGATCTCTAGTTTTAGTAGCAAAATTAAACAGGAAACTTTGCAAAGTAGAGCAGGAGAGGAAGTCCTGAAGACTTTCCACTTCAGTCTGTCCATTCCAGAAAGATTAGTCTGAGAGGACATACAACTACAGAAGGCTAGAGCCACTGAAGACAGGGAGCTTCAAAAACATCTGCACTGTACTTTCAGTAACAGACATCTTTAAAAACAGTGTGAGAGGGAGATGTGAGAGACAAAAGCCATGCATGGCAAGTGCACAGGAAAAGGAGACACCACTTGAACTTCAAGCCATCTGCTTGGCCAACCCAGAGGAGAAAAGAAGAGCACCGAACACCCTGAGAACCCAAAACAAGCATCATGGAACTGCACTCTAAAACCTGGTCTGCCTACCTCTACCTTTAATTGGCAGGATTAAAAAATTGAAATATTTAGCAAGAAAAGAAATTGTTCTGAGCCAAGGTGTGGAGTGGAACACAGACCCAGGCTTCCCCAAACACATCCCAGCCTCAGGAAGGCCTCCATTTTGCAGCCTGACCAGAAAAAAGGTCCATCTAGGTGCGTGACTACCACCTACCATCAATCTGTTAAGAAATGCCTGGTGCCCCAAGCATCTGGGAGCTCTGGAAAGAATGCCTAGAGCCACGATGATCAACTTGAGGGTCACAACCCCTTTGAGAGTAGCATGTCAGATATTTACATAACAATTCACAGCAGCAGCAAAATTACAGTTATGAAGTAGCAATGAAATAATTTTATCACCATAACACGAGGAGCTGTATTATAGGGTCACAGCATTGGGAAGGTTGGGGACCACCGGGTTAGGGGCAAGGCTGAAAGCAGCACCCATCTTTAGGCTCTGCACCCTGCTCGCTTCCTTCACTTTTCTTTGTCTCTTATTTAATAACTAATGTCAATTTAGCAGGTCACCTTTGGCCGTTCTGTTCTCATTCTCTCTCTTTGTTGGTTCTTTGTCCTTTTCACAGGCTTTCCCAAAGATTGCAGGCAGGGAGTTTGAGGGTTCCTTGTTTTAGCCACCAGGAAACTGGGTTCTTTCTCTTTCCCTCTCCACTTGGCCAGCACCACCTCACGGACTCCCTGTCTCTATTGCCTCCCTCTGTTTACTTTGCTCCCTCTGTTTTTTCTCTATCGTCCTAACACAAAACTCCAATCTTAGCTGCTTACTTCCTTTCTATTCAAACTCTTAGTAACTATCTTAGTAAACATAACACTATCATCGGGCATGGTAGCACACATCTTTAATATCAGCACTCAGAAGGCAGAGGCAGGCAGATCTCTGTGAGTTCAAGGCTAGCCTGGTCTATATAGTAAGATCCTACCTCAAGACAAACAAACAAACAAAAACATTGTACTATCCCCATTTCCTGACTTTCTAAAATTGACTGTTGCTGTATTTTGATAGTGAGCCTATCTATAGGCTATGGTTGCTCCTGTAGATAGTTTCTGACTCTCAGTGTAGTACTAGGCTCCATGCCTGGTGCCCTGAATGCATGGACTGAGGGTCTAACTACTGGGCTATATCTAGTCCAGTGAAGAAAAACACCTCAAATCTACTACATTGCCCTCCTTGAATGCTGAAGGCACACTAAAATAGTACAAGTGACTAAAAAATAAAACAAATGAACCAATCCCAGACCTCAAATAAAAAAGCCCAATACACTATAACTCTTTTAAAAATTACTAATCCCACAGTAATGGCCTCCAGTGAAATTAATTAGATTAAATCTCAAAGAATGATTGTGAGTATATATGTTCAAGGAAATCAAAGAGGGCATGAGTAAACTCCTAAATTAGTTCAAGGATAGCATAGCAAACAGCTGAATGAAACATGAAATCAATACAGGATGTCAAAGTGGAATTCAATAAAGAAATGGAAACACTAGGGAGAAAGCTATTCAACCTGAAATACTAGAAATAAAAAATTTAGTAAGTGGGGAAAAGCTAATGGAAAGCCTCACCAGTAGAGATCCAGTAAAGAGCTTAATATATGAGCTTGAAGAATGGTGAATGAAATAAACCATTCAGATAATGACAAAGATAAATTAGTAAGAAAAGAAAAAGCAGAATATATGAGATGGACATCACTAAAAGACCAAATCTATAAATCATATAAATGCCATATGAAAATGAGAAGAATTTCATGATAAAATCATTTTAAAAATAGATAAAAATATAGCAGAAAAAAATTCCAAAACTAATGAAAGAAATGATCTTCCATTTTGAATGACAAACAGAAAAGAAATTCCTCAGGTATATTATAGTTGGAACACTAAATATTCAGAATAAAGAAAGTGGATGGGAAACAGCAAGAAAAAAAAAACCACACCAAAATCATAAAAACAGCAGGTCTCTTGATAGAAACTAGTGGCCAAGAAAGCATGGAATGCTGTACTTTAAGTTGTGAAAATAACCATCATCACAGATTACTATATCCAGTGAAGCTGTCCCTCAAAAATGAAGGAGAACTACAGATTACCCATGAGAAACACAAACTGAAGGATTTCACGGCCACGAAGCAAGCGCTTCAGCAGACACTCAAAGCAATCCTACGTACAAAAGAGAAAGATAAGCACATAAGGCCACAAGAAAGAGTAAACAACCAAGAGCAGTAAGTGAACCAAACTGTTAGGGAAATATCAACTGCTACACCGAGAACAAAATGACAACTATTAAAATATACCCTTCAATAATAACTATTAATGGACTCAGTTTCCTAATCAAAAGACACAGACAAGCAGATTAGCAGATTGGGCTAGAAAATAGGATCTGTCTAGTTATTACATGAAAGAAATGCACTTCATTGCCAAAGACAGACATGACCTTAGGATAAAAGGATGGGAAAAATTATATCAAGATAATAGAAATGTATCATCTCTCTAGCTCCAAGTGATGACAGGCAAGCAATACCTGGAATCTCAGCCCACAGACCAACCTCCTCCAAAGCAAACCAACTCCAGATGCTAAAGTTCCAATACAGAAACAAGACCACTAGAAATAAAGAAAACAGGTGTAGCGATTCTAATATCTTACAAAAATAGAACTCAAACCAAAACTAGAAACTAGCCACAAGTTCAGGTTGAATTCTAAGCTAAGGAACTAAAGAAGATTATGATATATCAGGTAAATAATCCACCAATAGGAAATTAAAAGTTTAAACATTTATGCACCAAACATTAATGTATATTTAATTTCATAGAATAAATAGTAACAAAATAATACTGAGTGACTCTAAGACCCCACTCTCATCAATAGACAGGTCATGCATACACACACACACACACACACACACACACACACACAAGCACACACACACAAGCACACACGCACACACTACATATCACCTCTTCTGAAGAAGCGATGGAGGGACTATGGGCGCCAAATGATAGGAAGGAGTGTCGTGAGCACTGTCTTCTGGATACAGCATGACCATGTAATCATGTAGCTGTGACTGCTTGCACACAGAGAGGGACAGACACAGAGAGACAGAGGAAAAGGAGAGGCCAAAGGAGTTTGGAGGAGGGGGGCTACTTGGAAGGAAGAAAGGATCCATGTACAGGAAGGAGCTGAGAGGGTACTGGGTGTGATCATAGTACATTGTGTACAAGTATGATATTGTCAAAAATAAGAGAATCTGAAAGGGCTTTGGTGTGTTAAAAGTATCATTGCTGTATTGTCTAAGTTCACTTGCAAGTTGCCCACCATATTATAATGCAAAAATCTTCAATACACAGTTTGAAAAAGAGAATTGTAAATTGATTCTAAGATGTGCTGGGCTCCTATCATTTCAAGGGGGAAACATTACATGTAGTATTTTACTTTCCATTTTAAATCAGCTGTCATTTGAAATAATCACATGTCCAATTCAGCATGAAAATTAAGTTAGAATTAGATGTTTTGTACAATGTACGAGTCCCTTTGAAAAGTACTTCCCATCATGTTTAGTCTCAAGGTGATCATATGTCTTCAAAAAATAGAGGAAATGAAAGTAATAGATCATGACACAAAATCAAATGAACGAAAGAAACCTTTCCCAAACCAAGATGATTTTAATAGAAACCAAGGAAGTGGCAATGCATTGTCATCAGTCAGTCCTGTCAAATTCACAGATAGACAGCCTAGGGTAGACGTGGCCCAAAACTGGATGGAACTCAGTGCTTCCCTACACTATTTTTATCTTTCACTTCCCCAAAGCTGTCCTAAACCATGTGTAAAGTCCACATCTATGCTCAGAGGCCAGCCTTTGCTCTGCTACCTGCTGACCTCATCCTTTTATGGGGGTCAGTCTATACTTTTATTCCCAGGTAACTGGTGGCAAATGCCTGTTGTCACGCTATGGTGAGGAAGATATGAAGCACCAAGGGAAGCCAGAAAGAAATATTGAAATTTTAAGATGTGGTTCACTTGAAGAACAGAGGTATAGGTGACAAAACGATATCATCAGGTCTACTTGAACTTGACCATGGCTGCCAAGGTATTCGGGCTAAGCTTCAGATCCCCTGAGTTGCTGACCTGAGTACCTTGTTGCTTTCATTTACGTTTCACGGTAGTTCCTTGAAAGTACTTCTCTTTAAAACTTATTTTGAACTTCAAGACATAGGGGCGTCCTTACAGGACCATATGCTGAATAATCAAGTAGTTATCATCACCAATAGGAAGATGAAGTGCCTAGAATCCCCCAAAGGGACACTCCCAGTGCAGTAACTCTTCCTGTTCTGGGATGTTCCTGAACATGATGACACTGCTGGTGCAGAGCAAGGAAAGTAACAAGCTTTGAGATATTACTTACCTTTGCTCATTGATGTGACCAAACACGGACAAATCATCATGAGGAAGGAGTGGATTACTTTGGCTCTTGGTTGTGGAGGGTGCAGTCATCCGCAGGGAAGGTGTGGTGGTTGAAGCAGCTCTACCTGTGCAGTAGCAGACTTGCTTACAGTTGATGGGTCAGGAAGCAGAGAAAAGGAGCAGATATAGGGCTAGGCTATGAACCCTCAAGGCCTGTCCCCAGTGGCCTTAGTCTTCCAAGGAGACCCCACATACAAAAGCTTCCACAACTTTCCCAAACAGCACCATATGCTGGGGACCAAGTGTTCAATTACTTGAGCCAGGGCAAGGGGAACATTTTACATTCTTACCATAACAACAATCAATGTTCCAATCAGGTCTTTGTCAGAACAAACTTTTTGAACTTTGTTTACTCCCGCTATAAAGAGGGTAAAAACCTATCCACCTAATACAGTTATACAGATTAAGATAAGCCATGAAGTAAAACTGCAGCCAGTTCCGTGGTATAGACAAACTCTTCAATAAACAAACATGAGGCATGTGGTGGAAAGAGACGACACAGCAGTGTTTCTAAAGTCGACAGGCTCACATGCAAAAAGAATGGCCAATATCCCTGCCTCAGTGCAAGGGAAAGCAACCTCACACTAATGGAGAGGGTATCTTTGCTCAGTAATAAAGCATCAGTTACAATATAATCTGAGTCGGTTTTCACAACTGTGAGGTTCAACAGAGCTGATAAAGGCAACCAGCTTCGGTGTAGGAATGCTGAGCTACCAGTTCCTATGGATAAAGAAGCATCTGTAAAACCTCACTCCAACCCTTACAAAGAAAAAAAACTGTCTTCCCAAGCCCTTGCCCTTAGTCTGGCTACATTTGCAGATGGACGCTTAAAAGAAATGAGGTTAAACAATATGGGAAGGTTGGGGACGGGCTAATAGATCCATGCTCATACAAGAAATGACACCGGCAAAGGCCACATGAGGGCATGGCTGGAAAGAAGTCATAGGCAAGCCAAGAAGAGTGCTGTCACCAGAGCACATGTCATCCAGGACCTTAACCATGGGCACTTGGGCTCAAGAACTGTGAGAGAAACTAATACCTTCAAGCCATCCCACCTATGGTGTCTTAATATGGCAGCGTGAGCTAACTGGGATATTAGTTCACCACGAAAATGCACTTGAAAGAACTAGCTAGAAACCTGGGGATAGAGGGATTAATTGTCTCCTTGAGACCTTTTAATTCTTATGTATAGGAGTTGAACTCCTGTAAATATATAATATGCATTTCTTGGCATCCCCAATGTTTCAACAAATAATTTACTATGTAATAAATTATAGTTTAGATACCCAATAGAAGACTCTAAGTACTAAGAGTCTTGGATTATTGAAATATACTACATTGGAAGCTATTTCATAAGAGTTAGTTCCTACAGGATTAAATATATAAAGTGAGACATTGCATTAAAGCCACTAAGAAGTTGGGTGTCATGGTGAACATCTTTATCCCAGTATTCAAGAGACATAAGCAGGTGACTCTCCATGAAGTCAAGACTACCTTGGTCTATATAGAAAGTTCCAGGCCAGCCAGGGTTTCATGGGAAACCCTATCAAAAGAAATAGTAATTATGTCTTAGTAGTTAGTAATCATGACTTCTGAATGAAAATTCTATGAGGGAACCATACTGCAAATTCATCCTCTATTCATATTTTAAAAATTGACAGTTTTAGTGACTGTAGTACTCACAGAATGAGTGTGCGCTTGTTTTCTTGTCAACTGTGGCTGGCAAGCACACTGCCACTTAGTGTAGCCGAGAATAAGTCGCACTCAGGGCCAAAGACGTCAGCTGCAGCAAGCTCAAGAATCAGCCCCGTAGATCAGAGCCTCAGTTCTACCGGCCGGTCAGCTCCATCTCAAAGCGGCACTTCTTTTACATCCTGCTTATTCAATGGCTCCAATGAGTGCTGAGACTTTGCTTGTTTATGACTGGAACCAAGAAGAAATTTTCACCTGGCTTTGGGACTGAGCATTTCAATGTGGTATATAAAGCCATAGTTGATTATTTTCAGGACATGGAGGCTCGTCTCTCTTTCTCTTCCTTTGTTTTTTAGGTAAGGTGGCAGAGCAGAGTTAATTTTTCTGATGTCATAAATATAACAGTTAACAGAATTTGTAGGTCGCAAGCAAGAATGGCCCTGAGTATAAGGCACCGGGTACATATATAACCACAGTCATAGTATGAAGGAAGGCATACATTTTCCCCAGCTAAGCTGGAGACTGCATTCTCTCCACAGTTCTACTCATTATCATTTGCTGATTTTTATACTTATTAAAAATTGTAGAGTGGTTTGATAGGATACATTCCGCGGGGAGAAAAAAAACCATGGCAACTCCAACCCTCTTCAATACACCACCAGTTATAGTATGGTGCAGAAAGGGCCAAGGCTAAGAAAACAGAGTGATGTTGTCCCTAAAGCAGTCCATGGAGCACTGAGCAGGGAAGAAATCACAGCTGTTTGGATCGCCAGCCTGTGCCCCCAGCTGTTGCAGAGACAGAGACTAATGTGGCTCAGTAATTAACACCTGAGCAAATACCTCCACAGTGCAACCCCTTCTTGTTGGTATGAGAAGCCAATGGAACCCTTTGGAACCCCACTGAGACCCATGGGATAAAATGATGGTGATGGGGAGCCTTCTACTCCTCCAGCACAGGTCAGGCTGCTCAGGCCTGAAACAGAGTTCAATTTAAATACAGCAGACGGGCCTCGCTGTTGAATCTGGGACGCAGAGCTCCGATCCCTGTGTCATGAGACACCTAAAACAAGCTGAGTGGCGCAAGCAGGTCATTCAAACTGAAGCTGCACTCTGTTTGCAGAGCTGGTGGGGACTCCGGGGCATCACCTGAAGCTGTGGCTGGACGCTACTTGGGCACGTTGTTGACATCAGTATTTCAGAAGCCCCTCTCCTCAGACTACTCAGACCCCAAACTACTGCTGCTTAACTTGAAAGAGAGGTAGAAAAAAAACTCTGAAGTTGTTTTATGGCAAAATTAGGGTTAACCCATATAGTCCCAAGACCTTCAGGGGAAGCCTGAAGCTGCCTCTGGTGTGGAGACTTGCCTTAGCACACTTTTCCATCATAAATTCAACTTACATGACAGCTGCCAGAAGACAGCAACAACAATAACTAAACACAATAAGTTGTAACTATGTTCTGTAACAAAATACTACTCATTTGCTTTGAGGCCATCATTAGTAAAAATGAAGGTTCCCTGAGCCCAGACAGGCTAATACTGCAACCCTTGATCTAATAGCCAATGGGGTTCCTCGGTGCCTAGTGGGCAGGTGGTGTACACCTGCCCGTTGTCTATCCATTGTTCATGGGTGCACTAAACAAAGACTCTGCTCCAAGAGGAAAGCTGAGGAAGAGGCCCAGTTAACTTCCAAAGGGGGTGATAGGGTGGCTGGACATAAAGGTAGGTGATTCAGTGAAAACAAAAGAGGCCAAGCTGAACACAGATTCACTCAGGCGGCTCTGCCCCAGGTGCCTTAAAAAGTGGAGGTTCATCCAAAAGACAAGCCAGATGGCCTGGGTGAAGAGACTGACAGTCCCACCCACGGACAAACCTGTAGCTCTCACAGACCTCCAAATCCAGCAGGTTTTGGTCAGACAAGTATTCCTCTAGCAAGTGAATTCGATTTTGTCCCGACTGCTATGACGCAGTGTGGGAATGCCATCGTAAAGGGTAACATATTGCCACACTGAGCTGACTTGAGGACCTACTATGTAGAACAATCCCAAATCAAGGGCCTGTCATGGCCCCCAGGTGAGAGACAGGCCTGAGATACATTTGAAAAGACAAAAGGGACAAGTGGCCAGAGGTTCAGTTCAAGGTATGAGGAGTATAGGGGAAGGTACTCCTCTCAGTGATAGGGCAGACCTCCTCAACTGGGAAGAAATCTGGAGTCTGATAGCCCTGAGCCTGAAGTCAGGAAGCCATCTATGTGCTGCAATGCTCCCTGCAGTACAGTGTAAGCATGGGGAAGCCCTCATGGAGTACAATTCCTCCACAGACACAGCCGCTCACCCTCCAGCAGGGTGACTAATGTTTAGGGGATTTTGAAAGTATACAGTCGGGTCTGCCTATACAGATCTCAGTGCTCTAGTTGCCTGGTCAACTCCCAATGCATCTGAGAGACACCTCTTTTTTTTTTTTTTTTTTTTTTTTTTTGGTTTTTACAAGACAGGGTTTCTCTGTATTGTTTTGGAGGCTGTCGGTCCAGCCTGGCCTCGAACTCACAGAGATCCGCCTGCCTCTGCCTCCCGAGTGCTGGGATTAAAGGCGTGCGCCACCACCGCCCGGCTGAGAGACACCTCTTTTACCCAAGTTAGGACTGGGGTATGAACTGTCCCAGGATGGTTGAAAGGACCTGGCTGACCACAGACTGCACAACTAAATGTGGCCAGCAGAGGCCCCTGGTATGCAAAGAAGCTACGGAAGGAAGCACAGCTCTGGTGAGCAACCAGGGGAACTGAACACAGGGCCTGGAAATAAAACCACACAGTAGCAACCACATAATCTTTGACAAAGGTATGAAAAGCACACATTGAAAAGAAATCAGTCTCTTCAACAAATGGTGATAAGAAAACTGGATAACCAGGTATTAAAAAAGTAAACTAGATCTTTGTCTGCACAAAAATAATTTTAAAACAGATCAAAAATCTTAATGTAAGACTCTAAAGTGTTTACAGAAAGAAATACTTCAAGACATCAGCAAGCACAGGCGAGGACTTTAAGAAGGGGGTTCTAATAGCACAGAAATTGATCCATGAATTGATAAATCGAATGCATGACATCACAAAGTCCCTGCACCACAAAAGAAACAATCACCAGACTGAAGATAGCCTGAATGGGCTGGAGGGGAATGCTTGCTAGCTACATGCATATCAGGTAGGGGATTAAAATCTAGACTGCATATAGGATTACAAAAATTAAACACCAGCAGACAAATCATTCGACCAGTATATGGGAAGATGAACTGACTAGACAGTATTAAAAGGAAAAATGCAAATTGCCAATTGATGCTTGCTAATGCTTTCAACAGTCAGTTTAAGATCAATTGTTCTAAATCCTATGTCTGGAGTATGCAGTGTCTTCAGCAATGAGGTCTTCCCATCTGGTTCTATGAGGAGCCACAGGCATCAACAATAGCCTTTACTGTTTGGGGGTGACTTGGATTCCTTTGACCAACTACTAGAGGAGAGGTTTTCCATTGCTGCTACTTTCCTAACCCAGAATAATTTCTAACTCCATCCTAAAGACTTATCCTTATACCCACAGGTAAGTGTATGTCTCTCCCCTCATTAAAAAATTTTTTTTCATTTGTTTTTCCTGCAATAGAAACTACTACAGAAACCCTAAAGTGGTCAAAATATGAAAAACAGCAGTTTGCTAGGTGCCCAACCCAAACTGACACACCATTGTAACCTCTGTATCTAAGATTTGGAGAACATCACGTAAGAAGGTGTGTGGAAAGAATGTAAAGGCAGAGGGTTTTCATTTGTGGGCTGTGGTTCTTGTTTCTGTTTTTATAGTGTAGTACTCAACATCTTAGCTAGAGCAACAAAAGAAGTAAAAACAACACGAACAGGAAGAACTAAAATGATCAAAATTTGTAAATGCCATGACCCTACACTTTAAATGTCTTCGAGTCCACTAGACAAGTCTTAAATATGATAGGAAATCAGCAAAGTAATAAGATGCACAATAAACATGTTGTACATACCAATAATGAACTTGCTGAGAAAGAAAGGGATGTCCTATTTGCAATAGTTTCAAAAACATAATTTTATGAATAGGAATAAACCTGGCCAAGGAGGTGAAAGACTTCTACAATGAGAACTTTAAAATTCTGAGGAGAGAAATTGAAGAAGATGCCAGAAAGTAGAAAGAACCTCCCCCATACATTTGGATTAGAATAATTAATATGAAAATGAAAAATATTACTGAAAGCTGTCTACAGGTTCAACAGGATTTATGTTAAATTTTAATGACCCTCTTCATAGATTAGTTAAAACAAAATTAATGCGGAAGCAAAAAAAATAAAAATTAAAAGATCTCAAAAAGCTAAAGCAATCCTGAACAGAAAGAACGATGCCGGAAGTGTTCCAACCCCTGACTTCAGGCGGGCATTTGTTGCGCACGCTTTTAATCCCAGCGTTCAGGAGGCAGAGGCAGGTGTATCTCTGTGAGTTTGAGACCAACCTGGTCTACATGAGCTAATTCCAGAACAGCCTCCAAAGCCACAGAGAAACCCTGCCTCAAAAAACAAAACAAAACAAAACAACCAACCCCTGACTTCGAACTGCACCACAGAGCCATAGGAACAGAGACAGAACAAAACTGTCACAGAAACAGGTGTGTTGATAGAAATAAACCACACAGCTGAAGCCGGCAAATTTTTGACAAAGATGTCAAAAACATAACCTTGGAAGAGAGTCTCATGAAAAAATGAAGATGAGAAAATAGGATAAACACATGAAAAAAGTAAATCAGACCCTTATCACTTCTGAGGCACAAAAAAAAAGTCAATTCAAAACGGATTCATTGCCTCAATCCTTCTACCTGAAGCCACTGGTCAAAGCTTTATCAGCTTTCTCAGCCACACACCTGTAGTGTCCTGCCCTGAATCACCTCCTTCTCTCCCAGATGCTACTGCTGGGGAGGAACGGTGAAACCTTGAAGTAACAGGGAAAGCAGAGACTCAACCATCAAGTCAGGTCAATGGGCACATCTCACAACAGGAAGCACTCTGGGACTGTCCCTTGTCATACCACAAGTCTGTCATTGAGAAATGCACTCTGACCCACAGAGAAACCAGTAGAGGACTGCACCATAGTAATGCATTTATACAGTTTACCAAGAAGGAGTTCCTGCAGATCTCTTCTCTCTTTACTATCTTCCTAGAGCTGGATCAGTCACCTGCACTAGTTAAAGAAATCCTGCAGACAATCAGACAACTCAACCCAGGTATTTAGGCTTTCAAACAAATCATTAGTCAACCATTCCCAGAATCTACTATTTATTTTTAACCGCACAAAGGTAAGGTCTTTATTATGCACCCGGCTTATTGTTGGAATTATTTTTTGCCTGTGTACTTATTAAAATAACTTTGATTTTCCTAAGAACTATCAGACAGAGGACAAAACTCCCTCAAAATGCTAAGAAGTAAAAGGAAGGCAATTAGGAGCTGAAATTGCTGACATTGGTTCTTTGGAGTATATTCTAAGTAATGGTACAATTGAACTATATGGTAGTCTTAGTTTTTGAGGACTCTTCAACTGTCCATAGTAGCTTCACCAGTTTATATTCCCACATTTTTCCACATCCTCACCAGAATTTGTTTGATATCGTTTGTCTTAATGACAGCCATTCTGACTGTTGCAAGACAGAAGTCAATGTAGTTTTCATTGACATTTACCTGATGGCTAAGGATGCTGAACCTTTTATAAAAATATACTAACTGAACATTTGTAGTTTTTAGACTAGTGAAAGGCCATTTTTAATAACATAACTTATTATTCAAGAAACCATAGCCTTAAAGATACCCTAATTATTCCAGATATTCTACCTGTGCATCAACATAATGCTTTGGACTTTTCACTCATTTGAGGATATAAAAACTTTGGGTTATTTAAGGCTTTAGAGATTCAAAACTTAAGAGTTTATTCTCAAAGTTGAAAGTCATAAGCTAGATATAAAACTCTGGGGCTGTGGAGCGTGGGAGTATATACAGGTGTGTGAATGTGCGAGTGGCCATGCATAAATATGTGTGCGCGTGTGAGTGGAGGCCCAAATATGACCCTAGATACTGCTCCTCAGAATGATCATGCACCTTATTTTTCTAGACAAGACTCTTATCGGTTGACCTGTAGCTTGCTGATTAAAGATGCTAGGTGACCAGAGAGGCTAGGCATGCCCTGTATATGATTACCCAACCCTGGGATTACAGCACCATGCCCAGTTTTTTTTCATTACCCAAAATAATTTTCAAATTCAAAAATATTTTGATCATATTCTTCCCCTTTCCCAAATTCCTCCCAATCCTCTCTCTCTCCCTACCCATGCAACTTAAAGTTATTTCTCAAAAAAGAAACAAAAGCCAGTGTAACACACACCCCCAATTAAGGAAACAAAATAAAACCACATCTAAAAAAACAATAACAATCAAAACCACCACCAAACCGTAACCAAGTAAAAGCATACAAACAAACAAAAAACCAAACAGTGCAGGCCAATTATGTTAGTCAACCACTCCTGAACATGAGGCATCTCCTGAAATGGTTGATATACCCAGCGTCACTCTACTGGAGAAGATTGATTTTTCCCCTCCTGGCAGGTACAAGTGACAGTTTAGTTGTTAACCTTTACCCTAGTGGCTAGGTTTTGATTCACTTATTATTCATTTTTAAATATAACAAGATAACACAAAGCTATCACACTGAAGTCGGAGTTGGGCAAGACAAACCAACAAAAGGAAAAGAGCCCAAGAAAAAGCAGAAGAGTCAGAGACACTCTCTTTCGTTTACTTGGGAACCCTGTAAAACTGAACTAGAAGCCATAAGCACGGAAACCCATGCAGGCACTGTGCTTGCTGCTTCAGTCTCTGTGGGCTCACAGGAGCTTTGCCCATGCTGACTCACAGGGCCCTGTTTTCTTAGTGTCCTCCATGTCCTATGACTCTTACACTCTTTCAACCTCCTCTTCCCCAGGGTTCCCTAAGCTCTGTGGGGAGGAATTTGATGGAGACATACCATTTAGAGTTGAGTGCTCTACTCTCTGCCTAATGTCTCACCGTGGGTCTCTGCATCTGCCCCCATCTGCTGCAGGAGGAAGTGTCTTGGCTGATAGCTGAACAAGGCACTCATCTATGAGTATAGCAGAATATCATTAGCAGTCATTTTACCACTGCATTTTTTTCTTTTATTACACGAGTATTATTTTGTTTTACCCTAGGTCCCTTCAGGCTTCTTGTTCTTGGTCACCCAAGAAGTGTCAAGCATTGGTTCCATCTCATGGAGTGGCTTTCAGTCGAATCAGTTATTGGGTGGTTACCCCCAAGCCTTGGTACCACCGTTGCACTAACACTTCTCACATGTGCCCTGCTCTTTATGTGGCTTCTAGAGGTTGAACTGGACCCTCATGCTTGCAAGGCAAGCACTTTCTCAAATTAAGCTATCTTTCTAGCCCCAAATTCTGTTTGTCTGTTTGTTGTAATTCTACATACAACTACTGAAAGCACAATGTCACTTAGCTTTTCACTGACCAAATCAATCCACAGAACTAAACTAATCAAAAGAGGGGCTATCATTATGCAGAAAAAAATAACTTGGCAGTCACTCATAGCCTTTATAGAAGAATAAAAATGTCACAAGTTTTTCATGTGTCTATCTAATCTATATACCCATAAGTGGTCAAGGAGTGTGTGTGTGTGTGTGTGTGTGTGTGTGTGTGTGTGTGTGTGTGTATTTCTTCTAGGCTCTTCTCCAGAATGACCAATCTGATTAGACATGGGCTTTGCTTGTTTTTAAAACACGAAACAATGGCTTGGTCTACAAGTCACAACACTAAGGAGTCTGAAACAGAAGGGATCCTGTAAGTTTGAGGCCAACCTTGACCTCACAAAACAACTGCAATGACAAACAAACAAAAAGATCAAAGCCAGGCATCTAGGCATCTAGAAGCCTATATGGTAAAATGACTAATAATAAACAGAGTCTCGGGAAATTACAGATGTTGGAAATATTAGACACAGATTTAAAAATAAGTCTGATTAATATGTTTAAGAAATCTGATGGAAATGCATACCATAGAGAACCAAAGAATTTTAATAATCAAATGGAAATTCTAGAATTACAAAGTAAATCAATTATGTTTAGCAGATTACACAGCTCAAATTAATGAACTAAGAAATAGAATAAAAGATCAAAACACAAGAAGAAAAAATTATTAAAATCTATTAAAAAATAAAAAGAGCCTGAGACATAGCACAATAAAACACATTGCACACATGCAATTAGGATCTCAGAAGAATAGGGCAAATGTCATTTTAATAAGATAAACAAAAACTGCCACTCACTTTCCACTCTTCTCTCACTGAACCAAGTAGTTCACCCCATGTTGACTCTCATTTTCAGGCACACTAAGCCTGAGGTCTTCCATTAGTTGCTCTCTCTTCTCCTGCCTCAGTAATTATCAGGCCCGGTGGTCCTCACCCTCAGAGAGTCTGTACTCCCTGAGAATTATGTGGGGAGCGTTTTTAAAATCCTCCACCCCCTGAAAATGTGGTTTAACGGACCTGGACACAGAGAGCTGAGCACCTGCTACATTCGAAAAGTTCCTGTGATGACTGTAATGCGCACCTGTTAGAACCACACTCAGTGGCTTGGTTTGGCATCACGTGAGCTCAGCTCTGTGACAAGAACCAGAAACCTGGCATTGCCCCCAATTGAACCAAATTCTACAGTTCAGACTTACTGATTACACAGCTGCTATTTGTATTGCTATTGTTATATGCCATCAGCTGTTGGCTCCTTGTTCCCATCCTATAGCTGGAGGAGAGTCCAAGAAGGAAATAAAGAGAAGTGGGTCATTTGTTAACTCTGAATACCCAGCCACCTGTTGACTAAAGACCTTGACAGTGATTCACTTGATACCAAAAGCAAGTGTGGCCTGACACGTCCTTAGACTAGGCCAGTGCTCTTTGTTAATATTTTAGTGTGTGGCTGAATCTCACAGCTGTGAAAAGTCAGAAGCCTTTGTCAATCCTGTCACTTTAAAATCCAAGGACAGCCTCTTGTTGGTCTACAAGAACTTTGTGATTCTCTCCATTAAGCTTCACTTACTTTTCCCAAGACAGAGGCCAACTAGAAACTCAGTGTCTCTAACAGGCTGTAAAGTAGGAAAGACTGGCCCAATTAAGATAGACCTACTAAGAAATGGGCTACAAAACCATTAAACAGAAACCTACCACAAATACCTCATGGGCATCACAAGTAAGATCACCCCACAATGCAGACAAATGAGCTAAACAATAGCAGAAAGGCATGGACAAAATGAGTGACAGCAGCAGTGCCCCTTAGTAAAACACAAATATTCATTTGACCCAGTTGTCACTAGAAAGACAAGAGTGGAAATTATAAGGAGGATAAAGAAGTAGAAAGATATTATCTAGGGATATAAAATGTCAGTTGGACAAGGAGAATAACTAAAGATACCTATCTTATACCATGGCGACTATAATTGGTAATAGCATACTGTGAACTTGAAAATCTCCTAGGAGAGATTTTTTTAGTCTTCCACCACATAAAACATGAGTATTTGAGTCCATGTGTATGTTAATTTACTAGCTTAACTTAGCCACTTTGTAATATTACAACTAGAAATTGACATCATGTGCATCAAAGACATAACTTCATCTACTAAAAGTTTTAAACAAATAGGGAAACAGGTGTCCATGTTTTGTAATCCATTTGTTGCTTCAATAAAAATTGAATTAAAGTCCTGCAGTTTTCAAATGATAAGATTCTTTGTTAGAGCTGATCAAAGTGAACTGAACTGCTCCAAACTGTGCCATCGTAGAGTTTAGTGCATGCGCACATTTGTTCATAGTGATACAGTTGTGTCGTCACAGAAAGAGCAGCTGAACCCTACTCTGTGGACCCTTGGTGGCTTCTGTCTCTAGTCTCTACCCTGCCACTGAGCAAGATCATCAGGACATTGCCAGGAGAGAGGGGAAGTTTGGAAGATGTGTGGTCCCTAAAGAAAACAAAGTTTGTCTTAGTAAATAAATGTATCTTCCTTTGCTGTATTCCATATCCTCCAAGGTAAAACCACCCATATGGAGGGAAGCTCTTTAGGACACGGAATGTTAGAAGGGAGATAGAGCATTTCACCATGTAGGGAAGCGCCTTAAGCTTAGGAAGCAAGCCACTCAAAGACTTCAGGACGTCCCTGAAACTGACAAGATTCAGTAGTCCCCCCCCTCCCCATATGCGTAGTAAGGACGGCTGAGAGACTCTCAAGCAAGCTCATCTGCCTAGAAGAGGACTGGAAGAAGCAGAACCCAGCTGAACTGGCTGGAAAAGACATCCTCTGCTTTCATCAGCAGTCACCCATGCTGGGGTGGGCTTTGGGGATGCAGCTGTCTTTGAATAATTTCTGGTGCTGTCAGTAACCCCTTGCCTATATTCCTACAAATAGCTCCAATAAAACTCAGTGGTTCACTAACTTGAACTTTGGTGGTATCTGTACTTTGGCCTGTCATCAGTTTCCTCTCTGGGATAAGGATAAGGAGACATTTGTTCATGTCTCCCCAGGAATAGAGTCACACAGCATCTTTCTAGAAAAGACTTAACTATATGTTGAGGGAAACACTATTTAGCAATGACATGGGTTACTACTAAGTAACTTATACAGATGTTCTTAGCCAATCTTCAGATGACTGTGTAGCCAAATATGTAAGTAGAAATGTAATGCTCTAACATGACTTTGCCTGATTTCTGCCTAATGACTTTCTTTTTAGTTTTCAAAATAAATCATTCTAGTGGAATGTTTAAAGAATTGATTTTCAGTCTGAGGGCCTATACTACTACATTTATTTTGCCATTTATCCACATGAGAAGAAAAGTTTGACAAAAAGATTTATTAAAGATGAGGTCTGTGATGATATATTGTTTATGATTTAATATAGCCACTAGAGATCAAAATGAAAAGCTAGCCACAGCCATAGAACCAGGCAGTAGTGATATACACCTTTAATTCCACTAGCCACACTAGTTAGCTATAGAAGCTGGGCAGTGGTGGCACATGCCTTTAATCCTGGGACTTAGGAGATAAAGACAGATGAATCTCTGTGAATTCAATACCACCAGGGTTACATTAGAGTGAATAAGTATAAAAGAGAAACAATTTACACAAAGGAGATTTCAGTACTTGGGACCCCATGTCTTTAAACCCAGCTCTAGAGAGGTATATAAGATAGGAGCAGGGCATTCAGTATTCAGTCTCAGTGATTTATTCTCCAGCCACACAGAGGACAGGACAGTCTTTTCAGCCTGAGGTAGAGATGAGAGAGAGCTAGTGGTCAGTTGCTTTGCTTCTCTGATCTTCAGTTTGAACCCCAATATCTGTATCTAGGTTTTTATTATTTGTGTTACAGAGGTCTTTTTTATTTTTGTTGTACACCAACATTAATATCAATTACTAAACAAATAAATAGCACTTGATTTGGAAATGTAACTCAAAATTCTTCAGCACCTATGTAAACAAATACATGTGAGCCAGTGATCTGGTAAAAGTGTGGGTATATCTGTTGCTTTAAGTTTGATTACTGGAGTTTACATGATGGAAGACTAAAAGCAACTCCCACAAGTTGTCATAGGGTCCTGAACTCTGCCGTACTTCACTGAAAGCCAGAGACAACAAATCCAAGTGACCATGACTTTGGATCTCCAGAACCACAAGTCAAAACAACCCTTTGCTCCTGTAAATGGATTTTCTCAGGCACTTTGTTCCAACAAAGAAAGACTGATTTCCACAGACCAATAAAAATATACCTAAAACAAAATGTGACTGGCTAGACCAGGCTTGGACTACAATGTGCAGGAAGGGAACATTAAATTAGTCACTGCCAGAATTAATGGAAATCTTTCTCCCTCCACACATACTTCCTTATGTCTGGAGATGCTCAGTGCAGACAGCATGCTGTGAGGATTGGGGATTGCAGGGTAAGACTGTCATAGAAAATCTGAGGGCCCAAGTGTCATGCTTCAGAAGTCAAGACTAAAATGTCAGACAGAGATTATCTGTAAGCACATACAAAGAAGAAAACTCAGAAAACAGAGAAGTCGAGTTTTGTCTCTTTCTGTGTCTCTGTCTCTGTGTGTATCTCTCTGTGTCTCTTTCCCCCTTTTTTCCTCCCAGTGTGTGTGTATGTGTGTGTGTGTGTGTCTGTCTGTCTGTCTGTCTCTGTGTGTATCTCTCTGTGTCTCTTTCTTTCCCTCTTTTTTCCTCCCAGTGTGTGTGTGTGTGTGTGTGTGTGTGTGTGTGTGTGTGTGTGTGTGTGTGCGCGCGCGCGCATGTGTGCGCACGCTCGTGCGCTCCTGTGTGAGTACAGGAAGTACCACAGAACACGTGAAGGTCAGTGGGCAACTTTGGGTGTGAGTTCTCCCCTTCTGCCTTGCTTGAGGCAGGATTCCTTGTTGCTCACTGCTGCCTACACAGGGCTGACTGCACTGTGAGTTCCAGAGACTCACCTGTCTATGCCTCCTGCATCACCTCAGGCATGCTGGGATTATGAACGTGCACTACTGCAGCCTGCTTCATGTGGGTTCTGGGGAATCTGAAATACAGTCCTCAGGCCTGCACAACAAGTGGTTCACCCCCTGAGCCATCCACCTCCCAACCATCTTATTTATTAAACTGCAAAATACTCAGAAACTGAGTTCCATGGGTAAGATTGGAGGTGTTTTTGTCTATGTATGACAGACATATGACATTAGGGACTTAATTACACAAGGGTTACTCCCTCACAGATGAAACACTCGTTTAAAGAGTTCTCAAGCACCTAGGCTTTCCCTAGTTTGCTGCTCCCATATCTTCTTATACATCTTCTGAATTCAGGGTCACCTCATGGTGTAAAAGAGCAGTAACCACCTTTCTAGCAGCAGGAAGGAGTCATTCTGTGGTCCCAAACGATTTATTCAGTTAACTGTCATGGACCAAAATGATTAGCATGACCATGACTAGCTACAGCATCTGGATTACAAATCTCTCTAAGTGGGCATATTACTCAAGATTCTGTGCTGCAGAAGAAGAAAATAATGGGTGTGAGTGTTGCAAAACATAGAAACAATATCTGAAATCCTATGCAACTGAGCAGAATTCAGTTTCCCCTCCTGTGTTTTCAGACTTGCACTAGATAAAGCTTGAGTGAAGGAAAGAACCAAGAGAGAAAAGGAACAGAGGAGGGACCTGGTCGGTTTTGCCCAGCTCATTGGCTGAGACTACAGGGATGAGACTGTCACTCAAGAGGACAAGGACCCTGATTCCCTTCTGGCTTCCCTGGAGCAGCAATATCCTCCATGCTGCACACCTGGACAGTCACCTGCCTGTGTGCACAGAATGTAGCAGATAAAGTGCTGGTAGTTTTAAGCTAGGGGATGTCCTCTAGACTTGGGAAGGGGGCAGGGGACTTTGTAGCCCTGCCCACAAAAATTCACTGAGAATCACACCTTGAAATTCAAATGGGAGACAATCATGTCAACATGAAACAGGGCCTGGGAAAAAATTCAGATAAAATTCCCTTTAAATAACAATGAAAAGTATCTTAGAATTGAGATAAGAAGAAAACTGAAATAATGGAAAACTGTTAGTGGAAATGATTCTATCAAATACCATTTCGCTGACTAATGTAAGCATGATGCCAGAAGAAAACAACTATTTTTTTTGTCTTAGGGGAAAACAAATTATAATTTAAAAGGAAAGAAATATTTCATGCGGTTCTAATTTAAAATTTAGTAATGAATTATTTTATCCTTTTACCCGACACATAGACTGTAAAACTGAACTAGAAATTGTTCATTTGGTTTTTATGATGGAAGTTCCTTTTTGTTGGTTGTTTAATTTCAAGGCAGGGTTTCACTAGGTAATCTAAGCTAGCCTTGAACTCCGAATCCTTGTGTTTCAGTCTCCTGAGTTCATGCCATCATGCTTGGCAAGCCTTAGCACTTCTGCTTGGTCAATTGACTACACTAGGACCTGCCTAGAGCCTTGATGGCAAATTTGAAAATGGTATCACAAGTTTTCCTGGGTCAGAAATTGTTTATACAGAATTTTCCATTTCGAACAGATTCCTTTTTCAGTCTAAGCAAGGATTGGAAGGGAAGAAAATAATAGAGTGGGGGAAAGAGAGAATGGAAAGTAAAGAGAGAGAGCAAGAGAATAAGGAATGAGGGCAATGGGAAGTTAGACTAAGTGAACCAGGGAAAAGTGTCCAAGGTTCATTCTAACTCTTGTAGCAGTGGTGTAGCTCAGTGGCAGTGTATGCACAGTGTGAGGGCCTAAGTTTAGTCCTTAGCACCACCAAATAAATAAATAGATAGATAGATAAATAAATAGGAAAAAAGAAAAGAGGATGAGGAAGAAAAGGAAACTAAAAGAAAATAAATTTTCACAATCATATTGTGTAGAGAGCTGTAAAGTGCCACACCCTTAAGATGGCGCTGGCTTCTGCCTTCTGCTAGCAAGTGCTCTCTGTGATAAACAACTCCTTAAGAGCCCCACCTGTATTTGGTTAAGGCTGGCTATCAGGCTTGCTTCCGCATATGTGGACCTATCTGCATGTTCCACGTGGCATACTGGGGTTGGCCGCCCAAGGGCTTTTAAGGTGTGGGTTGGCACTCCCCGGGGTCAGAAGATTGCTCAAGGTTCCTGAATAAACTGCTTAAAGAAGAGTCCGAGCGTTGCGTCTTCCTTGCTGGTCGAGGCGGTCGCGACAATATTGAGGTACAAATGACACACAGAAAGCTGCAGATTCCAAATCTGGGATCTGCTCAGCTCCGATATGCACGCATCCACCAAAGCCATCACTGAACACAATCTTACCACATCTGTCTCTCCCTAGCCCCTCCATAGCCCTTCCTGTACCCCCACTCTTGGCACAATGAGGTTGAGTTTTAAGAATTTTATATGATCACATAATATCACACAATGTTTTCTATTCTATAGTGTGACTCTTTTCAGCATTTTTGAGATTTGTATATGTTCCATGTATCAATAGCTTTTCCTCTTTGGTACAGACATGTCTTCACATAGTTGTACCCAAGATTACCAAACTTGACCTGCTCAAAATAAATCTTATTACTTTCTCCTGACCAGACTCCTCTCCAGATTTCCTCACCTTGTGACTGTCAACCTTCATAACAGGAGCATCTTCTCAGGATCCAGCCTTAACATTCCCTCCCCCTCACTCTGCTCATGTCCCATTATCACAGGCTCCTGCCAAAAGAGCCTGTAAATATCTTCCGGATGCATCCATTTATTTGTGTTTCCATGGCTACCAAACAAACAAAGCCATTATAATTTCTTTCCCAACTTTCTTGGAAATCTTCCAGTGTCCATTCTTTTCTTCATGCTAGCAGTTCCCATGTGAGTGATTTCTTTCTAGAACACAAACCTTCAATGTGAAACTTTTATTTAACAGATTTTCATTGTTCTTAGGATTTGAGGACAAATCTTTGGCTTGACTGGCTTGAGTGGCTCCTACTGACCTTTTTATACAGACTAGCCTCTGGCCTAGTTCCAGAGTCACAAGTGACTCCGTCACAGTTTTTTAACCCCTGACATTCCCCCATCTCTGCCCTGAGCCCATCAGCAAATCACAAATCCTGCTGTTAAGATACTATTCAAATAAGCTACCATTATTTTAATGTTAATACTTATTTTTCTTTTTTAAGATTTATTTATTTATTATGCATACAGTGTTCTGTCTGCATATATGCCTGCAGTCCAGAAGAGGGCACCAGATTGTGAGCCATCATGTGGTTGTTGGAAATTGAACTCAGGACCTCTGAAAGACCAGCTAGTGTTCTTAACCACTGAGCCATCTCTCTAGCTCCTTATTTTTCTTTCTGTGGCCAAAACTTATGTACTCCAGGCCACTCTTGAACCAACAGCACTCCTCCCTTAACCTCCCAAGTCCTGAGATCATAGGCTTGAGCAACACATTGAGTTCAGCTACCATCATTTTCAACCATTTCATATGAACTGTTGCCACAAACTACTAAGGGGGGAAATTAGTTTAAATCCATTCACAGTCTTCTCTCTCCCTCCTCCCTCCCTCCTTTTCTTCTATCTCTCTCTCTTCTTCCTCCCATCCAAATGTTTTTCCCAACAACTCACTGGTCTGTGTGTAGGCTTCTAGCATAAGTCAAACCAGCACCTGGCTGCTATATCCCTTCTACTAACTATCCATTGCAATTGCAATACAGCCCAAGTCCTCTGCACTGACCACAAGGTCCTGCTTGATCTGGCTTCTGCTCCCACTTTGTCCTCATCCACCACCGCTGGCCTCTTTCACTCTGCTCCAGCCCTGACACCTTCCTAACCTTCTGTTCTTCACTCAACACACTCCAGTGATCTTTTCTTGGAATGCTTCTCCAGCTTCTGAATGGCTGGTCCTTATCTTCTCATTGACCACTCTCCATTCTGTTGCTTGTTTTTGCTTTCTACTCCTCTCAGTGGTTTCCCATCTCATTCATATCTATCTTTATGACAACTTGCAGAGTGACACGTCATCTGGCCATCTTTTCCTCTGCAATCTTGTCTCCTTTCTTTTCTCCTCACCCTGCCCAAGGCACACTATTAGTAGTTCCATCACTGTTTTTACAGTAAGTCAAAGGATGTCCTAACTCAAGACTTTTAGAGGTGTCATCCCTGAAAGATAGTCTCATATAAAACTAATATCACTGGATCCTTCCTTCATTTAGGCCTGACTCAAGAGTCTCATAAGGTAGATCTTTTTCCATGAACCTAATTAGCATAGAAACCCTAACAGCACAACCATTACCTTTTATTTTCTCAAAAACCATTTCTCAGCATGTTAAATAAGCATATTGACTATTTTCTGCCAAGTAGAGTGTGCCGTCTAGCAAAGCAGTGATTGTTTTCAACACTGCTGTTTACATTGTTCATCGATAAGCAATATACAATTTCCTATTGAATACAGGAAATTAATTTATGTGAAATAAATTTATGTGTCTGATTTATGTCTTCATGTCTCCACCACTCTGCCCTACAGCAAAACCTTAAAGACACAGCTGTGTAGAGGAAAAGAGATTAATGCAATCACCATTTAAAAATCATAACCGATTTTAGTGTCTATATTTTCAAATCCACCCAAACACTTTGTCTCAGAAGTCACCAGTCAATCCTAGGTTATACAAACTATGGACAAACAAACAAAAACAAAAAAAGAACAAAAACCAGAAGCCTGTCATAGTGACACAGCCTTTAATCCCAGTATTCAGGAGGCAGAGGCAGGAGGATCTCTGTGTGTTCAAAACCAGCCTGATCTACATTGCAAGTTCTAGGACAGCCAGTGTGACTCAGTGACATCCTGAAAAAAAAAAAAAAAACAAAACATGGAGGACCTGTCCATTTGCATCAGAGGAGTTGCCAAGGAGATGACTGAGAACAGACCCCTGCTGAGTCCTTCCTCCACCTCCACCAAGGAAGACTCTGAGCTCTGGTCCAGTCCTCTGTCTTCCCTCACTGGATCATCCCCTGCCGAGCTGGCCCAGGAAGTATGGCGCAAAGGCTGGATAGAGGAAGTTCAGCGAGGGCTGCAGTAAAGACATAGAAGACTATTTATTGCAAAATAAGCTGGCCTCTTTACCTTCTGTGGAATTTACTGGACCAGGATTGATCCACGCGGTGTAAAAATAAAAGATACAGGAGACCGACCTCAACAGAAGCAGAGCCCTTTCATTAGAACAATGAAGGACTCTAGTCTTGGGGGGAAGTGGAGAGTGCCCAGAAGCTCAGGGGACTCGAGGGTTTCACAGGGCAGAAAGAGGAACTTTTGAGGTGGATGGTTCCCTCTTCACATATGTTCCCCTGAAGTCTCAAAGTTGTAAATACAACGGGAGTTGAGGTGTTGACTGGTCCAGTCCAGAGCGTCCCAGCCCCAAGCCCCAACTGCCTGCAGGTGTTATCAGCCGGTGAACTCTCCTGTAGGGAGTGTCTCAGCTAGCCTGAGACTTCGGTCGTTAAACCCTCAGACGAGGTTCTGGGCCTTAATCTTAGTCCTTATCTTATAGAGAACACAAGATGAGCATGGCTGAGAGAAGGAGCCGCTTTCCCTAACCTTAGTGCGGTAAGTGTTTCCTTCAAGGTGGGAGACAGGGGCTGGGGAAAGCGGCCTAAACTTGCCAAACTTGCAGAGTTCCAGAGGCGGGGCTTTGAGTCTGTCTGCTCGCAAGGGCTCTGCAGCACCTCGGTGCAAAGCCGCGAGTCTGCGCGGGGAGGGCAGGACTCACAGCACTTCCTCCCCGAGCCCACGTCCTCCGCTCCAGGCCAGCCCAGCCCAGGGTAGACAACCGTGCATCTCAGCTCAGCTCAGCCGGTGCGCTTCACAGCATCTTGGGGTCACCCGGTGCATCGCAGCTCAGCCCCGCGCTTCTGAGAGCAGCCACCGCACCCCAGCCGTCAAGGTAAGCAGCACCCCAACCCCGTGCGCCGCATCTCGGGGACATTCGGGCGGCCACTCTGCGTGTCCGGTGGGAGGGGACCCTCGCGGCACAGGTCCACGCACCGGCCACGTGAACTCGGGCTCCTCGTGCAGCCTGGAGGCTCCAGGTCCGGTGTACACCCCTTGCACTGGACCTGGGCCAGACCTGGGGTTCCCTCCTCTCCCCCACCCTGCATTCTGTTTCACCCTATTTAACGGATTTCCTGTTTAAGAAATGCTACCTGCCCCTCTTGCCCTGGGACCCCTGAACTGAGCTGGGCGTCTGAGACAAAACTTCCCCGGGAGCATTTTAGGGCACTGCCGCCATTAATCGCTAGTCTGAGACCTTTGAGAGTTGGTGGACTTCTTTTAAAACTTGAAGAAACTGTGATTCTGCTTTTTTGAAGATGATCTTTCCCTCCCAAGTGGTCTCCGTTTCTTTGTAAAATGTGGCGAGAATGAGTTTGAGTACCAGACACGGTAATTTAGTTTGGAGTCAAGATGCAGAAAATACTTTAAATCATGAAAGACAGAATGCTCTTGTATCCCCAAGAGCCCTGGTGCAGTCCGTCCCCCCTCGCCCCCCCCCCGCCCGGACCTCACCACGTGTACCTCTTCTTTTTCCCTGGAGAATGTATTTCACACCGTGGTGAAAGAGTGACATGTGTTTTCCTAGAGCCACTCAGCATCTCAGCTCAAAGAGGTTTTTGTGAAAAAGATGCCCAGTGAAAGAGAAAGGCAATGCAGAGAAGAAATGGTGGGTGGGTCTTCAGTATAAGAGTAGTGGGGGTCGGAGGAAGAACAGTGCTGATATTTCTAAAATCTGGGACTCCAAACTGAAACTTCAGAAAGGAAACCTTGGCTTTCAGACCAAACCAGGAGTTTTGCCTTGTGGGCCTTACACAGAAGCTTGAACCTTGAGAGGAATGCTGGCTAGCAAGATAGCAGGAGATAACAGGAATCCTGCAATGTCCCTCCAGGTGGTGTTTCCTGTCTGCTCAAAGATCTGCCTAAATGTCATCTTCAAACGAATAGTACTTAGTTTAAGCGTTCTTACAAATACGTGCGACTTTTCTGGTACTTGGTAGACTCGGGTTGTTTCTGCACATCTGATACTAACGAGTCAGGGATGGACTTAATTATGCTGTTTAAACCAGTAGTGAATGAAGTAATACCATGTAAGAATGGAGATGAACAGTGCTGTGAAGGGGGGTGGACTGCAGGTCGGCTGTGGAGCACATGCTGCATGAAGTTCCTGTGTTCAATACCAGAGGGAACAGGAGGGTATTCTGACAGACTGTAAGAGCTGAAATATAAACACTTTTGAGGGTTTTGTTTCTGAGAAATACCACTAACAAGCAAAGCAATTTCTGGTCTCTGTGTAAGTTGCCAGCATTCCATTCTATTGCATTTCAAAAGTCCAGAGTTACTATTTTTCAAGAAATGTAACTTTGAGATGTGCAGTTAATTGCACATAATATTTACTAGGCTTTGTAGCACCCACTACATTTTCTCTGAAGTTTTGTATTCTGAGAATGTGTACCAGCTCTCCCCTATAGCGTCACCTTATGTCACATGTAGATAAAAAGTTCTAGGTGTTTCACTATTACATGGTGAACAACTTATAAAGTTTATTGCCGTAAACATTTACGTTATGCTACTTTGATTTCTCAAAGATCAGAGTTTTTCTTTATTTCTATTTATTTGTAGTCCTTTTTTACTTCATTTTATCTATTTTGATAAGTAATCCTTTCAACAAATGTACAGGGTTTTTTTAGAATAAATTCAGTTTGTGTTCTATAATCTATCAGACCATAATATTACAGAACCTCATGAGTGGCCTTAGGAACTTTCAAAAATAGAATTAAAACAAAGTAGGACAAATATGAAACATTTCTGTCTCATTATACACATAACTGCAAGGCAATTTTGTGCAACATTTTGGATAATTTTGTGTGTGAGAAAAATTATATGTTACAGTTAAGTAGCTGGGTGCCTTCTCTCTGCGTTGGAGATGCTGAATAGATCTGTGTGGCAGGCCTGTGTTTGGACTGTGACATGTCACATGAGGTTAGGTCAAGCCTCAAGATGTTGCAACTTTTATTATTAGCATAATTGACATTTTCAGTGTAAAAATGTATCTGTTTTTATCAATTATCTCATCCCAAATGACAAGTCTCTTAAAGTTCAAGCATCGTATGACCTCAGATATAAAACATATATGAATTTAAGATTTAAAGGTGTTTGGTGGGGACACTGGTTGTACGCTGATGTTTATATTCTGAAGCATAGTTAGAGGCAACTTTATGCATCTGGGAAAACAGCCCATTTCTCTAAGGAAGAGAGGAGAGCGGCACTAAGATGCAAGGACACCTCCCTGCTCAGGAGCCTGCATTGTGCTTCTTGGTGGCAAGGTAGGGCCTGAGGACAGTGGGAGATTAGAGACTAGAACTGCCACCGCTACATCCCCACTTCCAAGCCAAATTCCGTCACCATAGTTACAGCTCAAGACATGCTTCCTGAATCAGTTCCACTTCTGGGGTACCAGCAAAATGTCTCAAGCTCCAAGACCCATTTTGTTCATTGGTCCCAATTCTAAGGTAGGAGGGGAGATAAAATACCACACTAGGCGATCAAACTTCTCAGTACAGTCACTGTAGCTTCAGTTCAGGACTCTATTTCCACACATTGACTATGAAACTGAATCACTAAGAACTGTATTATGAGACTTATTTCCTTCCTTCTATTTCAACTTGGGTTCCTTTTCGATCACCGTGTGGCAGTAGTACATAACACTTATCATGTCTTATTGAACTTAGAGTTTCATTATCTAAGTTCTTGAGACAAGAAGTTTCATATTTTGGATTCATATTTGGGGGTAAGGAATAGAATGTTTGCATATACTTGAGATATCACAAGGATCAATTATGAGCATGAAATTCATTTGTTTCATGCACTTTACACATGTAGTTGGATGGTACTTTATGCAATGTTGTAAATAATTTTATGCATGAAAGAGTTTATGTATGTATTTCAGTTAACAGGGATAATGCGTATTTCCCCCCTTGGGAAGGCTAAATAAATTCTGTGTTCTATGCCTATCTGTTTTTAATCTCTCTTTTTTTAATTTATGTGCATTGGTATTTTGCCTGCATGTATATCTGTATGAGGGTGTTGGGTACCCTGGAACTAAAGTTACAGCCATGAGCTGCCATGTGGGTGCTGGGAATTGAACCTGGACTTTCTGGAAGGACAGCAAGTGCTCTTAACCTCTGTGCTATGTCCCCAGCCCCCATGCCTATATTTTGACTCTGAATTGTAATGTGTGTAGTCAGCTGTGGAGTTTGCTGTTTGTGACTTCATGTTGGTGCTCCCAAATGTATCAGATTTTGGAAGATCTGGGATTTGAGGTTTTCAGAGTTAAGGATGTTTAACTTGTACTACTGTAATTCCTCTTTGTCACTGATGAAAGTACAGAGAGATTGAGAAATGTACATAGAGAGTAGCATGCAGAGCTGATACTGACCTGGGAAAGTCTGATAACAGCACCCTACATCAAACTCCAGGGCTCAGATAAGGGAAAAGATGAGTCCTCACCAAGCTTATAGTCTACAAGTGGGCAGAAAACCAGACAGATAATTCTGCGTGTGACTGAAGTTGTGTTCTGTGTAACCACATAGCAGGTCCCTACAGTAGACCAGAATGAGGCAGGAGGATGAATGAAGACAGCCAAACAGAACAAACCAACCATGACAAAGTTGCTTTGTTATTCATGGAAGACAAGAGAGATATCATCTTCAGTTTTAAAGTTATTGCTTTTATCTTTTGCAAAGTAATCTCCTTTCCTAATAGTATTTTATTCTTATCTTTATTATATCCAAATTCATCATAGTGGCCTTCTGGCTTGACTAAATCAACAAAGTAGTAAATCTAATCTTTTCTCTAACTCTATTGGAAGTCTTTCTGATTTGGTCTTATATCAGACTCATCAGAGATATGTCTGTGTGCTGGTAAGGAGATAAGTATTTAATTACATGGAAATTATGTTCCCACACAGTGGCTGAAAAATTTATGCCCAGGTAATGACATCCTATTAGGCTAGAGAGAAATAAAAGTTACACCAGAAGAAGTGAGCTGTGATGGGATATTTTCCCTTCATTTTTATTATGAAATTTTTATTATGAAAATTTTCATGTATACAAAAACTGACTATATATATGCATATATTATATATAATGGTGCATGTGCATACATGTATGTATATAGTCTCCTCAACACCTTATTACTTCGGGTATCATGTTTCTAAGGTCTAAATATGCCAGTTACCTAGAGCTGCCTAAGCCTCTCCCTTTCATATCAATTTCCCCTGACCATATATCCTAGTTAGGGCTACTATTGCTGTCATGACACACCATGATTAAAGCAACTTAAGGAAGAATTGGTTTATTTGACTCACACTTCCATATCACAGTTCATCACCAAAGGAAGTCAGGACAAGAACTCAAGCAGGGCAGTAACCGGAGGCAGAAGCTGACGCAGAGGCCATAGAGGAATGCTGCTTACTGTGTTGCTCCTCTTGGGCTTGCTTAGCCTTCTTTATTATAATAGAACCCAGAACCACCATCCCAGTGCACTAGTAACAAAAAATGTCCTACAGGCTTTCCTGCAGACTGATCTTATGGAGACATTTTCTCAATAGAGGTTCATTCCTCCCTCCTCTTAAATGACTACAGCTTGTGTCAAATTGACATAAAACTATCCCTTTGATCTGTCTCACACCAGCCACCAAGAGGTTGATCTGATGCCTTTTAGGTCTTTTCAACTTGCTTTGAATCTGGATCCCCTACTTCGCCCTCATTGCCCCACTCCTATACGAGGCTACTAGGGGCTCTTCAGGAAAGCCTCTCCTTGTTCCCGCCTCAAACCCCATCAAGCACTCGAACAGGCCTTGGCTAAAGCATCCACCTTGTCACCAATTCTTCC